GTGTACTGGTGTGGGCCTGTAATGCCAGCATTCAGAGGGCAGAGGCAGATGGCAAATTCAAGACAACCTTGGGGTACCCAGCAAGACTGTGCACCTCCTGGATCCTGTCTCAAAAGAAAGACCTCCAAAGGCAGGCTCCTCTCCTTTTTGGTTTTGTTATTAGTTGCAGGCTCTGTGCTTGTCTCCAGCTTTGTGGAGGATTGTCTTAGCACCTGACAAATTCAGCTTCAAGAACACAAAAAAATATTGCAGAGAAAATAGAAGGAGTTCTCTGTTTGGATGGGGACTACGTACATATTTATTAGTGATAAGATTATCCCACTCCTTGTCCACGTCTGCAGGTTTACTCATTGCAGGTAAATTAGGTAAAGTCTGGTGACATGTCTTTCTACTCATTTCCAGTCACTTGCTGTACTTGATACCTACCCTGCTGGAAAAAGGGACACTTCCCTGCCTCCACGAAAACACAATTCTTCACACCCCTTTCGGCCTCCTAATTTGTTAACATGTTCTTTAAAATCTTCCTCAGTAACCAGGGTAGTTGCTGCTGACTGAGCCTTGGCTCAATGCCAGTGTGTGGGCAGGGTCTCTCGCCCCTCTAGACCCTGCCCACCAGCTGGGCATCTAGATGAAAATGGTCTGGCTATCAACCCCTTCGCTTCTCTGTCATTCTAGGCTGCAGGCATGGGAAAGCCTGAGGAGCAAGCACTGAGGGGATATCTGTTCCCATTTTGCAGAAGGCAGGCCAGCTGAGCAGTCAGTGCCCAGCTGCAACCCTGGCTTACGGAAGCAGTATATATTGATGGCCAGCTAGCAGTTTCTGCTGCAGTGCTGTTCTGTATACGGATCTGGCCACGCCAATTCAAGTTAGAGGTGAATGCACTATCTTTAGTGGGATGTCTGACACTGAGCTACAAATTGCATTGGGTTGGGAGATTGCCATTTTTATTTAACTTGAGCCTTCTGCCCCCAGATCCTTTCCTGGTAATTTAAAATTTCTAGTAACAGCTTTTTTTCTTTTTACTGAAAACTTTACATATGTGCATGATCATATCTACCCTTTCCCCCTTCAATTTCTCCCAGGCCCCCTAAAAAAGCTCCCTCCATAATTCATGTCCTTTTTGTTTTTGGTAACCCACTATATCTAGTTAGTGCTGATCATGAGTATGCGGCCCGCCACAGAAGCATGGAAACTCTGTCAGTGGCCATACACTCAAAAGAGCATGATTCTCCCTCCCCAGCAACTATCAGCTGCCAATAGCTCCTCAGGAAGGGAGGGGGTCTGGAGAGCACCTCCCATGCATGCTGGAGTTTTGGCTGGATTCATTCTGTGCAGGTCTAGTACAGGAGACTGCTCCTGTAGGTCCATGACTCTAGTGGCCATGTCTAGGCCAGAGGACTGTATTTCACTGCACTCCTTCCCACCCTTATGTTCTTCCCGTCTCCTCTCTAAGGCATTCTCTGTGCTTTGGTGGTAGTGTTTGTAGTGCATTCCTGTGGGCATGTGTGTGTGTGTGTGTGTGTGTGTGTGTGTAAGGTGTCGGATTCTGCTATTTCTGCTGCCACGTGTCTTTGCTATATTTCTACTGATGTGGTAAACACCATGACCAAACACAGCTGGGAGGAAAGGGTTGATCTCTTACTTCCTGTTGTCATCATTGAAGGAAGTCAGGGCAGGTCCTGTTGAGGAAAGGGTTGATCTCCTCCTACATCCTGTGTCATCATTGAAGGAAGTCAGGGCAGGAACCTGGAGGCAGCCACTGAAGCAGAGGCTGTGGAGAGGTGTTGCTTACTGGCTTGCTCAGTCCGCTTGCTTATAAACAGCAGGACCACCAGCGCAGAGGTGGAAGCACTGACACTGGGCTGGGCCCTCCTATCCCACATCACTCACTAATTACGAAAATGCTCACATGCTTGTCCACAGGCTGATATGGTAGGTGTGTGTCCTTAACTGTGGTTCCCTCTCCCAACTGACTCTAGCGTGTATCAACTTGACACTCTCACAAACACTTGTAAGTGGGAGTCACATGAAGCATAAACTCAAAGAGCCCCTTCCCCCAATCAAGGTGGTTGACAAGCAAATGTGGCTAGAGGCACTTTTAGGGAAATAGCAAAGGATTTTTAGAAAGGGGGAATATGAAGAACAAACAACAGTATGGGGCAAAGTTCACCTTGGTTAGATGTGGAGTCAGTTCCAGCTTTTCTTCTGCTGTGTTAAGCTGGAGGATCCTGCTGTAGGCATGAATGGAAGCTCCAGAGAAAGCCCCATATTTCCCTTAGTGAGAAAAAGGGCGCAGGCTGGTGGAAGGGCACTTAGTTCAAAGCACTTAGCCTGGCAATGTATCATACTTTGGAGTATGTTTTTCTGAGCCCCAAATACCCTCCTCCGGCCTTATCCCACCTTGGTATTACTGAGGGCCAGACATGGATTAACTCTTATTTACTCTTTCAAGAAGAGTACCCCATTCTCCAAAGCGAAGGCATGGAAGTCCAGGCTACTGCCACCCTCTTTTCACTGCTATGTGACGGGGGATGTGTGTACCCCTCACTAAGTGGGTGCCAAGAATGATGGACCTAGAAGCTTTAAATCCTATGAGGGAGATGAAAAACAATTAAGCCCAATTTTATATGGTGCAGATGAAAATGGTGCCCAAGCACCTTTAACTGTGTTGATGCATGCTCTGAGCCATCATTAATTAGCCAAGACACAGGAAGCAGCAGAAGCTGACCTTAGAACCGCTCAGACTACACTTTGCTGGACTATGCAAAAGACAATCAAGGTCAGTTCATGGAGAGGCACCATCCTGTTAATTGTACAGCATCAACAACCAGTGCTACTTCAGCTGAAACTGTAACAGTGAGGCTCCATCAAGCAAGAAAAAGACAAAAAAAAAACAACTTTCTAAAGCACAGAAATGTAAGAATGAAGATGAAACACACACAAGGAGGCGTTCCTGAAACTAGAACTGGGTTAGTGTCAGAAGTTAAACACAACTGGCTCTAGAGACATAGGTGAGCAGCTGGAAACCAAGCCAACCAAAGACTACAAAGCAAGCCGAGCTCAGCATCTTTCATTGCTGTTCTTTTCTGGCACTGAGGTAGCTTTTTAAAGATACATTTCTTTGGCATGTTTCTTAAAAAACAAACAAACAAACAAACAAACAAACAAACAAACAAACAGTCAGTGGAGAGATCCTGAAGGGCTTTTTCTGGTTCTATCATGTCATTCCCACAAAGTCACCTTTAGAAAGAGGGCAGTTAACTGTTTAGAATACTTAAGGGATCTTGTTGGACTTTGTAACTGGATGAATGAGGAATAACAATGTATCGACACAGATGCTATTATTCTAGTGAATGTGGAGATTTTGAAGGGGGTGTGAAGCCCTTTCTAAACTGCCATCCAGGCAGAGCCAAATACTGAGGCTGCAGTTATTTCAGTGTGACCCTTTAACAGGCTTGTCATCTAGACAGGCTCATCTCTTTTTGCTTCATAACCAAAGAATGAATTGCTTTGAATACCTAGAACACTGGTACTTCAGTGTTCTAAGGGTCGTCTTGTAGTTTCCCTGTTTTTCAACAGTGAGATGTTTTCTTTTTAATAAATTGATACCCATCTTAAAAAGAAAATAAACAGCACTAGTGGAAGAATGAAATGGTCTTCGGGGGTACAGTGCATTCCCAGCATGCACAGATCCCTAGGTTTGGTTCCCCGCAATGCATAAAGAAAACACAACCCAGTTGAGTAGGAGGGAAGTCATGGAAAGCCTATCATAAAGGCCACACTGACACTGGAGAACAGGGCCACATTCTCTTCTACTAGCTAGAGGAGAACAGAGACAAGTTCTGGGGAAACAGGAGTGAAAGGACAGGTATTTATCTGTAAGGGTGACCACGCATTACTACTGAACAGCCGAAGTTTAGTTTGTCAGAAGACATTTTTGACATAGTCCATACCCATGGAGGATCTATGCCCTTGACTAAGCAAAGTGAATGCAGAACCAACAGTTTCAAATAACATTACAGGACAAATAAAGAAATGAGGGCAGGGGAGAGTGTGGGGTCATCAAATGCAACCACATCTGGTCCCAAGTCTCACTCCTGCAGGGAACAAAGCACAAGTGGGAGGCACCAGCTCTAGGACTGTCTACTGTCAAATGTAACAACTTTGGAGGGATCATGGTCACCCCTGCTCATCTGCCTCCCAGATGAAATGTCAAGATGCCTATTCTCATTGGTTTCCCTTTCCTTGGGCAGCAAAACTGTGATGGGGCAAAAATCCAGTTTATTCTGAGATGTATGTCCTAATATGAGTTGTATCTGTTGAAAAAATCGTGTATTTATGGCCCATAAAGTTGGGTGAGTCTAGAAGAGCTCTTTTCCACCCAGGAGTGGCAGTAGCCCTGCTGGGGAATAGAGCTGGGGCTGGAACCTGGGCTGGGAGAAGAGCTCTCACTCTGCAAGAACATTTTCCATTCTTTCTTGGTGTGATGCCATGCTCACCCGAGTCTCCAAATGTATTAGGCTTTTTCCTATAACCATAGAACTGTCCTCATTGTTTGGCTTCTGGGAGGCCAGACTATGAGGGCCATAGACAAATTCCTGTAGCTCTTTTGTCTTTTTGCTACTTCTCGATGTCCTTGTGGTGCTCGGCGCCTTGTGTGAAGGCTGCTGCTGCTTTACTAGTCTGGCCTCCCTCGTTTCTCAGTCACACGCTCAGTCTGTGACGCGGGGCTCTCACTATCGGGCTGTACACTACTGGGCTGCTTCCAGCCTCTCCTTAGCTTACATGGGTTGTCTCTGCTGCTAGGGCTGTTTCCATACTGTGTTGGTTCTTAGGCTTTCGTGTGGTATCTGTTTAATATTCATGTTCACGAAGAGCCCAGTGGTGTGTCCACATATATTCTTTAAGATTTGGATGAAAAGTTGAATGTATTCAGATATTCAACAAATGTTTATTGGTGCCCATAAAGTATTGCAAGCTCATCGAAGATGACATCAAGATGGTTTCATATTTTTATTTTTAAAGGCTGAAATACGATTTTTTAAAGTCTTAAACAAAACGAAAAAAATCTGGAAAACATGATGTATCTAACAGTGCTCTGGAAAAGCAGTTGAATTTGATATGCAGTCAGGAGTTTCCAACCGACGTTGATTGTACAATAAACTTAGCACAGAGAATCTGTCAATGTGATAGAGGAAGCTTTAAATCAGGTTTAAGGCTTGTCATGCCTCAATTCATGTGCTAACATTTTCAGTCAGTCTCTAGTGCAGCTGTTGAAACATGTGGGCTCTGTAGATCAAACAGGACTTCTAAAGTTCATGAGTTCTTAATTCTGATTCTTAGAATTATTTTGCTTTTCTGATTGGAAAGCAGACAGTGCTTCTGATGGAGGAACATGAAGATTTATCGATCATCCCAAAATATCTTGTAGAACAATAAAGTTTTCATTTCATAATTTTAAAAGCTGATACACAGTTGCTGATTTTGAATGCTCTCAAGCAGGAGAAGAAAGTGTCAAAACTTTGCATATGTAACAGGAAGCTAACTGTTCATTCAGAAAACAGATTTGCAAGTGATGTCTATTTTAACTAAGACAGCAGATTTCTTGCAACTTTGCTCAGCTAATCAAAAAATTTAATTCTTAAGGAGACAAGTGTTTACTTTCTTTTGAATTTTAACAAGTATTAAATATTTCAAGGGCTTCTCCTCCCTCTCGTTCTTTAATTTCTCTTTCATGCCCATGAGCCATCAGAACTTTCTCTCTCCATAGGCTTCATGACTGTTTTTTCTGGCTTAAGTTTTAGAGATGGCCATCATCATCAAGGCCATCTTTTCATAACTTCTCTTCACACACTGAGTCAAGTTATCTGCTTCTTTGTCTACTTCTTTGTCTAAGGATGGATTGTATCACTAATCTCAGCTTTGCACACACACACACACACACACACACACACACACACACACACACACAGCCATCTCATGCGTGATCTAGGGGTCAGCCATACCTCGAACTAGTGAGGTTTCTTTGGGTATTCACACATCCAGTTACTTGTATCAATTAACTTGTAACCTGGAAAAAACACTTGTCCTTTCTTAAGCTTTCAGACTCTAACACTGGGCTGCATATTATTGTGACAAAGCTGATTTCTTAGGTGAAACTCGGTAAGACTGCTCAGAAAAAAGATGGTTGTTGGGATCAGAGCCCAAGCAAGTGGGCCACATTGTGACAGCTAGGAAGGAAATACATTAATAACATTTAAGTGTTTAAATCTACTTTGCTTAGGTAAATTTGGAAGCAAATTTCACGTCCAAACCAATTAAATGAAACCATTCAGGACTGTTAAGTTCAGGATTGTGAACCTGAACAAGGGATGTTTCCAGATGCATTTGTTAGTTCAGAAACGAAATGTCTTGACTTTCAACTTTACTTTTAGGTTAACCTTTGCAAGGTTAACGGTCGTAAATTTAACTACTTAACTTTTTAAATATTTGTGTTTATGTGAAGGTGTGTGGGCCTGTATGTGGCATGAGCATGCCAGTGTAGGTAACACACTTTTGTACTGCTGTACTTAAGAGATGCTCAGAAATGGACATTATATTGTAGTCCAACACTTACCCTCAGCTCAATACAAAACCAGTCATGTTTACAAGGTAAAAACTAAGAGTTTTGTACCACATAGTATTATTAATAATGCAGCTTCTGAAGTTAAATACCAGAGGTTAATTTTGCTTTTTTGGTGTGCATTGCACATCTTGCTTTTTTGATACAAACGTCATTACCCTTGCAATACCTTGTAAATCCCAGTAAAGCATTATGGGTTGGCACGTATGTTTTAATGGCAGGAAGGTGAAAATAAAGTCTAAAGAAGCAAAGACTCAGAATTTCTATGGTGTATTTGATCATAAAATATGCAGCAGTGAATGTTCAATTCATAAACTACTGTTCTGATCACTGAAAATTATAGTAGCTGGCACAAATCATGGAAACTGGGGGTTTGCCTGATTTCCAATCACTGCTTACCATTCGGCTGCCACTGGCATGCAAAAGTCCAATAGCGGCAATCAGAGTACAACATCCATTTCACTAACACATCAGTTCATCCATTAATGGCTGCCTGGATTAGCTTCAACACAAAAGGCACAACTGGAAAACTATCTCCTGCACCCTTACTAGCTAACCAGACAGGAGTCCTCGTGGCTTGGCTTGACTTCTCCTTCCAGCAGCAAGTTCATCACAACCTTTGTCAAGTAGCTGCAGGTTCCTCTTTTCCCCAGTGGAGGAGTGTTGTAAAAGGAAGTCATATCATCCTACAAAGGAAGAGAGTAAACAAGTCCTTTGAACTGACAGGTAAAATCAGCAGCTGCCCAGGGGGGAAATATATTTGCAGAAAGATTTCCTTGTGGAAATTATGAGCTTCCTGCACTTCGATTTCATTTTCCTGAGGCACCTTCTTAGCATATAAAACAAAAGCAGGCATTTTTAGCAGCCTTCTCTTTGTTAGTGGTTTTTATTTACCTGGGGAAGCTGTCACAGATGAGCACACAATATTAAGCAGGGAGCCCAGAAAGGACTACACTAGACAGTACACAGCCCTTATGACGCCTGTTCTACATTCCCATCTTTCTCTGAATTTATTTTACAGCCTTCTGGATCCTCCCTGGAAAAACACATTTTTTTTTTAAAAAATTATTTTATGTGCATTGGTGTGAAGTTGTCAGACCACCTAGAACTGGAGGTACAGACAGTTGTGAGCTCCCGTGTAGGAGCTGGCAGTTGAACCCAGGTCCTTTGGAAGAGCAGACAGTACTCTTCACCACTGAGCCATCTCTCCAGCCAGGCAAAACAAATTTTAATTGTCAACCATATAAAAAAATTAATCTCATCTTAGATTTCTTTTTTTTCCAGAATGTCATAGCTCAATTGACTAGTAATTAGCTAAAAAGTAATATTAATTTCTCAATAAATCTGACTGCCTCTCAAGCATTCTATTTTGTACTCTGTAAATCTGTTTGAGATATTAAATATTAGAGACCATTTCAATAGTTGAGACAATGAAAACATATTCTCTACTTACTTGTTTTTCTATTTCTTTTAGACGACTCTCATCTTTTTGAAACTCATGAAATGCTTCTTTGACCAGTCTGTCTAGATCCACTTTGTCTTGAAATTCTAGCTCAGGGTTTCTTTCCAGTACAATGGACACAACCATTAGTAACTAGAAGAGATGGATATGGAAGCCATTGACATGAACCATAACAGCTCTATAGTCTGGCTGAGGTTTCATCAACAGATCTGATGGGCAGCACTCTGTATATTAAGAAGCATCTATGGATAGACTCCATTTGGAAAATGAATGTTTATCACAGTATCACTGCAGCCATAGAGAGATCTTTTTAGTCAAGGAAATAAAACTATTTCCATAGAAAAATGAGATTTTGGGGAGAAAGCTCAGTTGGTCAACTGTTTGCTTTCATTAACCGGTTATTTGGCTGCACCATAATTTATCCCCAGAAGTAATACTCATTTTACTTTAAGATATTATTTTTGATTGTGTGTGTGTGTGTGTGTGTGTGTGTGTGTGTGAAGTATGTACATTTGAGTTCAATGCCCACCGAGGCCAGAAGAGAAGAGGGCACTGGATACCCCTGGAGCTAGAGTTACTGAGATCCACCTGCCTCTGACCCCCAAGTGCTGGTACTAAAGGTCTAAGCCACAACAACTAGCTTATAATACTTATTTTAGATGACAAATGTCCACATACAGACTGTGGCCATGTATGTGGTGATGGGTGGGGGCCTTCTGATGAACCTTTATACCCTGACCACAGAACAGAATTCCTTCTTCTAAATTTAGAAATCTTACTGGGTACATGCTATCTAAATGCTGCAGAACCTGAAGACACTACAGTAAAGTTCAGGGGTCACAATGTGGCAGGCACATTTGTCAGGGCAAGCTTTAGAAAGGAGAATATGAAAGGCACCAAGGCCACCAGAGGTCAACAAGAAGGAGCTCTGAGTCCGTTATTTGCCCAGGACACCACACACTGGACATGAGAGCCCAAGAAAAGCATCCTTCTGACAACTCTGTTTTTACAGACCCTCTCTCTGCATCACTCCTCCCACCTGCTACTGAATGACTGGACCATACTATTTCACATGCTGGAACATCAGAGATGAGACTGAACGTCACCTAGGTTTGATTGCAGCTCCAGAAACAATGGGCTAAGCAGAAGCCAAATCTAGCTTTTAAGTCAATAAGACATGACTTACTTAAAAGAATAGAATGTCTGATGGAGACATTGCCTAAGAAAGAGACAGTGGAAGGATTGGCCACACCCTAACTTCTCCATTCTGGGAACTCACTGTACATTGTTTAATGGTGACAGAGGGCAAGTGTGTGACTACGTGTGCACGGATATACGTACTTTAGTGCTCTACACAGTGTCTTCTATTTATAGGCAGATGCTTTGAAAGATGTCCTTCAAAAAACTAGCAGCAATGGTCTCTTGCTCCCTGAAATTCTCTGAAATGTTGCAACATTCTACATTAGCAGTATAATGTTTCCATAATTAGGAAAAGCTAAAACCTGGTTGGATAGAAATATTCTTTCCCTCTGCTGCTGTGACACTGCTGACACACTAGCTGCTGTAGGCCGAGTGCCCCTGAGTGGCTAATTGATTTGGTTTTTTCCACCTGAGGGAGTTTAAGGTAGTTGAACTGTAAGTATGCTCTGACCCAGGTCAAGGATGTCTGTCTCCTTGAGGACTCTATTGGAGAAGCTGACAGGTGATGGACAGAGTTCTTGGTCTTAGGGGGAGAAGGTAGTTTTTCTATACTATCCTTCAATGAGCAGACAGAAAGCAAGGCTTTGGTGAACTACAATTTTTTTTTTTTTTTTTTTTTTTTATACAAACCTCTACAATGATCTGTCTGTACTTTGGCTGGTCAATGTTTCCCAACATGTCTTCAACAAGGAGAGAAAAATTCATCTCATACATGGTCATATCTGACAAGGTTGGTTGCTGAAAAAGAAGAAAGAAATCTCCACATTAACAATGCTGAATGTTATTCCCTGCTTATTCCTCACTTAATAGAGGAATCTCATTTTCTAATCAATAATCTTTCCAGTTTCTATAAAACTGGAGAGAGTATTTTCACCTCTGTGATTAGATTTTATCTATGTCAAACTACTGAAGCCAGCTAGCTGACTGTTGTGATAAATTAAGTCTCTCTCTATTCATAGTTATCTTCATTATGTTAATAATCTTAGGGGAAAAGACTGTATTAAAAGCCCATTCCATATATAACAGTAACATCTAAGAACTGAGACAATGAATTGAGTACATATTACATTCAGAATTAACATGAGAAGCTATGCTTGCTGTTGGACTATAAAATGTTAGTCTTTGCTATTGCATTTATATCATTTTTCTGTTGGTCTTTTCCAAGCAGCCAGAAGAAAAATGCTACAAATAAGGAAAAATTATGAAATGGCAGAAAACAGAAAGAGTTTAAGAATCTTCACCTTTGTCTTTTGTTTAAAGTAAACAAACAGCTTTTTATTCACTGTAGGACATCCAATCCTATTTAAATCAGGGCATGAGAGTATGGTGGCCAGTTGTGACTGTCAACTTGATTGGATTAAGCACATATAGCATTAATGAGGCACACATTTGCTTTTGTCTGTGAAGATGTTTCTAGAAAAGTCTGGGTAAGGAAGACCCAGGATAAATGATGACAGTACACGCTGGAGTCTGAATAAGAGGGAAAAGGCTTGCTGTGCATGAGCATCCCCCTTCCTGATTCCTGAACACAACTGTCCTCACTGTCATCCTTCCTGTCCATGGCAGACTACATTCCTTTGAACCCTGAGCCTGCAAATTTCATGATTTTCTTGTTTTTAATTGCTGAGTTACAGTATTCCATTGTATAAATATACCACAATTTCTGCATCCATTCCTCCACTGAGGGATATTAGATACAAAATATAGGATAAACATACTAAAATCTGTACACCTAAAGAAGCTAAGCAAGAAGAAGGACCTTGGGTAAGATGATCAATCCTCAATCAGAAAGGCAAACAGGATGGGCATCAGAAGACGGAGAAAATCGGCAATAGGACAAGAGCCTACCACAGAGGGACTCTGAAAGACTCTACCCAGCAAGATATCAAAGCAGATGCTGAGACTCATAGCCAAACTTTGGGCCAAGTGCAGGGAATCTAATGAAAGAAGGGGGAGATAGAAAGACCTGGAGGGGACTGGAGCTCTAAAAGGAGAGCAACAGAACCAAAAAATCTGGGGACAGGGATCTTTTCTGAGACTGATATTCCAACCAAGGACCATGCATGGTGATAACCCAGAACCCCTGCATAGATGTAGCCCATGGCAGCTCAGTCTCCAAAGGGGTTCCCTAGTAATGGGAACAGGGACTGTCTCAGACATGATCTCAGTGGCCTGCTCTTTGATCACCTTCCCCTGATGTGAGAGCAGCCTTACCAGGCCACAGAGGAAGACAATGCAGCCAGTCCTGATGAGACCTGATAAGCTAGGGTCAGAGGGAATTGGAGGAGGACCTCTCTTATCAGTGGACTTGGGGAGGGGCATGGGAGGAGAAGAGGCAGGGAGGGTTTGATGGGGAGGAGATGAAGGAAAGGGCTACAGCTGGGATACAAAGTGAATAAACTGTAATTAATATAAAACAAATAAAATTTAAAATAAAAAGAACAAAGTATAACAACACATGCTGGAAGATATTGTGATGAAACCAATTACTTGGTATATTAACCTAAAAAATAGAACAAAAGGAAAAAAGAGACACAGAAATTGAAACCAGGACAGTTTCAGGAAGAGCTCGAATGAGAAGTCATTATGTTCAGAGATGTAAGGCTGACTTAGACCTCATGTTTCTTCTTTTACATGAAACCTAGGTGTAGTATACTACACATGGTTAGATGTATGTGTGTGCATGCACACTCACATACATAATGAAGCTAGAAAGTAAATCATGAGAGGGGAGAAAGAAATCCTAAACAAGTGGGGAAAGGGAGGGGCTAATACATTAAATGGGACATAAAAGCAGATGAGGGAATTATTTGGGAGAAGAAAAGGGATTCACCAGGGGGAGCAGAGGACACAGGAAGAGGGCAGCGGGGGAGGGAAACTCCTGAGAACAAAGTACATTGACATATATGCATGAAAGTCCAGTAATGAAACTAAACTCTATATTCTAGCTTTAAAAAAAAAATACAGGTTTTTATAGAACTGTTATCAGAACTAAATGGCATTTCAGGAATTTGTAAATCTACTATTTATATCAAAGCAAAGAGTAGCTAGTAAACCTAGCTGAGGCTATCATAGAATTAAACAAAGCCTGGTAGGTACTTGGGGTGCGAGTAGGAGGTGAGTTTAGGGTGCAGAGGGCAGGGTTGAGGCCTAGGAGAAGCACCAGAGCTAACAGCAGAGATGCTGTCATGGTTTTCAAGAGATAACAGGCTGTAACAGTAGCCACTGAGCATCTGAAGAATGCTGGAGGACCCACACAGCCCACCAAACCAAGATAACTCCCTGTGAATACTATAAAGAATATCATTTTAAACTTTGGAATTTGGTTTTTGAGTAAGAAATAGACTTGTGACACAATTCAAACTTTGAATGGCAAAAGCAGTTCCAATGATGAGCCTGCAGGAGATACTTGAACACCTCCTTCTGAGGAAAAAAAACACTATCGATTTCTGTGAGTTGCTAGACAGATGCTTTTCAGTCTATATATACAAAATACATATGGGAACATCTGAGACTATTTTTTTCTTTTAAAGGTACCTCAAAATCGATGTGGTTAGAGTTTCAACACTAGAACTAGATACACTGCTCTATTTGTGGTTCTGTGTATGTAGGTGAGTTTAATACCAGGACTAAATAAATGATAATCACATCGAAGAAGCAGGCCAACTTATATAATAACTAAAAGCATCCATGCATAGGAGGGTCGGCAGTTCATCTGCGCCATCAATAAGTCACACCACATGGAACCTGGAAGCCTGCATTTCTCAGTTCAGTGATACGTCTCAGCAGTGCGTCCCTGATCCACACGTTCAAGGCCACTCTGTATTGCTAGGCTGGGTCCACTTCTGCTTTTAAGTCATGCTTCACATGAAGACCCAGCACCAGCCCACCACTCCTTAGTGGTGAAGACATACCACTACTTGAAGCAAAACTAATAGAATGTGTGGGCTAGTTTTTCTGGGACAGGGAACATCACCTGAGGAACGTCTGCCAAACGGGCCTGTGTGTTTGGGGTATTTTCCTGCTTAATAACTGATGTGGCAGGGCCCAGCTCACTGTGAGCAAAGCTGTGCAAGCCCCGGGGGACAGGGCAGTAAGCAGCCTTCCTTCATGTTTCTGCTCCAGCCTTCCTGTTCTGTTCTGTTCATGTTTCTGTTCCGCCTTCAGGTTCCTACCTTGAGCTCCCATCCTGACTTCCCTTCATGATGGAGTATAAACTGCAGATGATATAAGCCCCACCCCAAGGTGGTTTTGCTCGTGGTGTTTTCATTGTTTATTTTTTTTATTAATTACACTTTATTCACTTTGTATCCCCCCATAAGCCCCTCCCTCCTCCCCTCCCAACCCACTCTCCCTCCCCTTTCTTCACAAATGCCCCTCCCCAAGTCCACTGATAGGGGAGGTCCTCTTCTTCTTCCTTCTGATCTTAGTCTATCAGATCTCGTCAGGAGTGGCTGCACTGTTGTCTTCTGTGGCCTGGTAAAGCTGCTCTCCACTCAGAGGGAGGTGATCAAAGAGCAGGCCAATCAGATTATGTCAGAGGCAGTCCCTCTTCCCATTACTATGGAACCCACTTGGACACTGAACTGCCATGGGCTATATCTGTGCAGGGGTTCTAGGTTATTGCCATGCATGGTCCTTAGTTGGAGTATGAGTCTCTGGGAAGTTCCCTGTGTTCAAATTTCTGGTTGTGTTGCTCTCCTTGTGGAGTTCCTGTCCTCTCCAGATCTTACTATTTCCCACTTCTTACATAAGATTCCATGCACACTGCCCAACAGTTGGCCATGAGTCTCAGTGTTTGCTTTGATAGTCTTCAGGGCAGAGCCTTTTAGAGGCCCTCTGTGGCACCAGATGCACCTCCACTGAAGAATGGATGCAGAAATTGTGGTACATCTACACAATGGAGTATTACTCAGCAATGAAAAATAAGGAAATCATGAAATTTGCAGTTAAATGGTAGGACCTGGAAAGGATCATCCTGAGTGAGCTGTCCTAGAAGCAGAAAGACACACACGGTATATACTCACTCATATAGACATGTGATATAGGATGAACCTACTGAAAACTATACATCTAAAGAAACTAATCGAGAGAGAGGACCCTGACTAAAATGCTCAATCCCCATCCTGAAAGGCTCGTGGTGTTTATCACAGCAATGGGAAGCAAACTAGTACACAAAAGGAGCCCTAAATTCACAAGTAAGTGAACAGAGGAAGAACAGCCTGCTGTAGGAGGTTTCATCATGTGGTATTCGGAAGCACCTGAAATACTCCAATACAAGGACACAGACACAATTTCTCAGTAAGTATACATGTGGTAAAGCTTTTTCTGCATACATGGACATAGAAACTGGGAGATAAAAGCATGGGCTGAGCAAGAAATGATTCTAATCCAAATGACAACTTATTTTATGGCATTTATCCTGTCTTTGAACATTCTTAGAACGTTTGTCGGTAGTACGGAGTGGAAAAGAATTCGATTCCTCCTGTTGGTCCTTTCTACTGACATAAGTGCACTTTACCTGTGGCAAATGCTTTCCAGCTACGACAATACCATTCGGTGTGCGCTCCAGGATCTGCCACACTCGGTCGTAGAACCCTGGCGGAGTTCTATTCAATGACCCGTCGATCTGACGTCTATTCAGCCAACATCTGTAGACCAAAGGAAAAGCATCAGCTGTGAACATGAGGTTTGCTATTGGAGAGAGCAGGGTGAGTGTGCTAACAGAGGGGGCGAGAGGAAAAACTCGTCAGTGGTGTGCTCGGCATGTTGAGGGGAGGAGCACGAGGAGGGAGACGCCACAGCTTAAGGTGTTAGCAGGCAATGGTGTTCTCCAGAAAGTTATGAGTTGCTTACTGCACCGTCAGACGACCTTCCCAGATCAAAAATGGGCACAACCAATTTCACAGTTATTTAAACTGTTCTCACATTAATAAAATGTAAGGACCAGAAAGGCATGGAAATCATGTAGCTTGCTCATGCCTTTAGATCCTTCCCAGAGTGGGCTCAATAAATGTTTGGTTAGAAATGAATAAGCTAACATTCCAAAAATATTATATATCTACAATATACATATGTATATGAACATTTAAAATGAAATGATCTTATCTTAAATCTTATAAAAGCTGCTTATTTAAATAAGGCCTAAGACTGAGTCCAAAAATCTAGACATAAAACCTTCAATGTCAACCAGATATAGAATCTTACTTATCAGAGTTATGGCCAGAACCATAACAATAAACCTAAATTCTAGATTAGAAATTACCCTAATATACCATTCACAATTGCCAAAGGTATAGAACTTGTTTTATTTTTAAAAAACACACAGTGACACAGTATAATTTTGCAAAAGCTAAAAACTGTGTGTGTGTGTGTATGTCTTTGCGTGTCTGGTACTTTAAAAGCAGACAGAAAGAAATGCTCAGCCATTACAAGCGAAGTGTGTCGGGATCTATAAACTATGTCTAAGTACGAAAGTAGCTGTGTGGATAGAGTGAACAGCTAAGGACATTTGTTTTGTGGTGGAAGACCAGTGCAATCTGACAAATTTAGAAATTAAGAAGTCTGTTTCTGTTAACAGACCCAGACTTACACTACTGCCTTCAGGATTTTGCTAAAGGCAACAAGACAAGGATCTAGTGGTCCCTCGCTGATGATTTTCTTTGGTAAATGAATACCATCTGCATTCGATTTTTATCCATATTCCTTAAATGGAGCAACAACAACATATTTCAGAGCTCTTTGAAGCTATGGCTAATGTTATAAAAGGTGTATTTGCTTAGAATATAAAAATATGAAAATACAATGGAGCTGGGAAATTATTTTACAATTATTATTATTCTGTTTGGGTGTTTTGCCTGTATGTATATCTGTGCATCATCTGGATCCCTTGAAACTAGAGTTACAGGTGGTTATGAGCTACCATGTGGGTGCCGGGTATTGAAGCTGGGTCCTCTGTAAGAGTAGCCAGCGTTCTTAACTGATGAATCATTTTTCCTGCTCTACTTAAAACTTTTTAATTTTATTTTGAAAAACTTTAACTTGCAGAAGTCTTATACCCTCGTCACTCAAGCCCTCTTCCATTCTTACAATCTTATATAATCACAGTGTAATCATTGACACTAAGAAATCAAAATAACATGATTTTTACCTATGAGCCTATTTGACATTCTACAAAGTCAGGCTCCAATTCAGAATTCCATGTGTCACTTAGTTTCTGTGTCCTAGAGGCTCCTTGGATCTGTGGTAGCTCTTTATTATTATTATTATTATCATTATAGCTTTCATATCTTAGTAGTATCTTCTGTTTCATAAGATTTTTCTCAGTTTGTGTTTTATGGTGGTGTTTTATTAAAACAAATGCATCTGGGCAAGAAAATCCAGAAGTGATATGGGGTCAGCGTCATTGTACACGAAACTGAAGACTTGCTACTAGTGACGGTAGTCTTTATTGATTGGGTAAAGCGCAAAGCGAGTCTGACAGCTTTGTCCACTATAATAAATTACTTGTTTTTTCTTTGCTATTAGTGAGGATGTTGAATAGAAACACTCAGCTATTAGGCAAGGTCTCACTCCACAGTACTGCTAACAATGGTTCTTGCCTGCAGCTACTGCTGCATTTTCTTGGTGATCCTTTTCTGCTCCCAATTTCTATCTATACATATTAATTAGATTCTGCCTTAAGGAAGAGTCCCTTCTCTCCCATTCACTGATCTCTATCAGCATGGACTCTATTTATAATCTATTACTATTATTTGTGCAGTTCTTCCACACAAATGAGCAGACACACATTTGGGGGAAAAAAAAAGGAAAAAAAGAAACAATACAAAACAAAAACCTCATGTCAGTTGGTGTCCTAGGAGTTTCTCCAGTGTCCACATGTCTGTCATATTTTGAGTTTTGTTTTGTTTTTTTTTTTTTTCATTCTGGCCCAAAGATGCTCCTGGATTACCTTGCATTTTTTCCCTGCCTTCCTCTGAAATCAGCCATTTCTCCAGGAAGAGCTGATTCTTTTCATCATAGTTTTGGAGTGCAGCGGTGTCAGGCTTGCTCATTACTGTGGCAGTTTCACTGTTCCTAGGACATTGCAGTAGACAGAACTAGGAAACACATGGATGCATATGCACAACCAGATCCATGTTCATTTCTCTGTTGATCGCTATAAAGCCATGACTTCATATTGCTTTATCAATTTCATTGAACCCACTTTTCCCCTCTATAGGAATAGCCATCAACAGTGAGAAATCTGCTTTACAGTCATAATGCGCTTTACTCATTTATTCAATCTTATTATACACATGAATTCGGATTGCTAATGAACATACACTGGAGAGAAGCATGCTTTAACTGGAGGCAGTATTTATGTATCGTTTTGCTTATAGCCTTTCAGTGTCTAATAAAGGGAATGCTGTCAACAGGGACTCTGGCTTTCCCACCCCCTCAGTGTGTGAGCTGGGTTTATCTGTTGGTTTCCACTCTTCTGGGCTCCTCCACATATAGGCTGATGTTAATACATTACTTTTTTTTATTAATTACAGTTTATTCACTTTGTATCCCAGCTGTAGCCCCCTCCCCCATCCCCTTTCAATTCCACCCTCCCTCTTCAACTCCTGTGACCCTCCCCCAGTGCAATGATAGGGGAGTTCCTTCTCCCCTTCCATCTGATCCTAGTGTATCAGGCCTCACCAGGATTGGCTGCATTATCTTCCTCTGTGGCCTGGTAAGGCTGCTCCCCCCTCAGATGGTCTGACATGAGTTCATGTCAGAGATGGTCCCTGTTCCTATTGCTGGGAAACCCTCTTGGACACTGAGCTGCCATGGGCTACATCTGTGTAGGGGTTCTAGGTTATCTCCATGAATGGTCCTTGTTTGGAGTATCAGTCTCAGAAAACACCCCTTTATTATGAATAAAGCTGCTACAAACACGGTTGAGCAGATGTCCTTGTTATGTACTTGAGCATCTTTTGGATATATGCTTAGGAGTGGGCATAGCTGTATCTTGAGGTAGCACTATTTCAAATTGTCTGAGAAAGTGCCAGATTGATTTCCAAAGTGGTTGTACATGTTTCCATTCCCACCAGCAGTGGAGGAGGGTTCCCCTTTCTCCACATCCTCTCCAGCATGTGTTGTCACTTGAGTTTGTGTTCTTGGCCACTCTGATGGGTTAGTACTGGATGCATATAACATTCCCACCACTTAGGAGTTGGGTACATGTCACACCCGCGCTGAGGAGGAGGTCTTCCATGCACAGAGGTCAGCTGGGGAAAGGCTTGCTCTGTGCCTCAACTCTGCTCTGCTGTACCTCTGCCTCACCATTTTTCATCCATTTTTATCCCTCTGAAAGCCTTCATCACTTTGGTTTATTTATCCCCCCCCCCCCCGGTATTTCCTCCACAAAAATGATTATACACGTTTTAAAAAATAAGAACTGGGGGGGGGGCAAGATGGCGGCACCAGGAGAACACCGTGTCTGAGAAGCGGGACAACACACTCCGTGCAGCGACCAGGAGACTGAACTCTGGGCCCTAAAACAACAACGATCGATCCTGTTTTTCAGGTGAGGGGAGGCTCCCACGGCGTGGGAATCGGTCTGGTCCACTCCCGGCTGCCCAGCCAGAACCCGGAAAGAGAACCCGGCTAACGCGGGCCTTGGGTCTCCGGGCTGGTGCCGCAAGCCTGCTTGTCCCGATCAGTTTCCCAGGCTGATTGGTGGGCACAAGGTGCCTGAGGCTGAGAGTCCCAGTCGCAAAAAAACCCCACGGGGAAGCAAAGTTACCAGACTGGTCACGGGTCACCCAGTCTTTCCCTGGAAGGTCTCTCAGACTGCAGGTACCCACCGCCATCACAATTGAGCTCCTGCCATGCACAGATTACAGCTGCGCAGCTGCGTGCCCAGCTCAAAATCCCTACTCCTTCTTCGGAGGAGGCAGGAGGCATCCAGCAGAATCTGCCACAGACCACATTGTCTGTACCCCAACCCAAGATCGGGGCTGAGAAAACCCAATCCTTTCAGGCACTCCCCCAAACGCCGCCATCACCCTGCCGAGGCTGAGTGGAAGGATAAAGAGGCGCACAGCGGCTTCACAGTGCTGGAACTCCAGTGCTGCCGGCCACTCCTAGCAAACAAACTACAGCTCGGGATCTGGGACTGTGGTCATTCTACACGTCCTGAGATTATCCTGGGTCCAGCGCAATAAGGTCTAGCAGCAAGTTCTATCACTGGCGCCCACCCCCCCCACCGACCCCTGGCAGAGAAATGCCGGCTCAGGGCTCAGGATCCAACTGAGAAGCCCCAAACCCTGCTGGCACTCCCCTGAGAGCACCGCCATAAGCTTACCCTAGCAGAGGGGAAGGTCAGAGGGGAAGGATAGAGAGGCAGCCTGCCAAGGACACAGCACCCTGTCTCCAGCTCACCCAGCGGCCCCTAGCAGAGAAACCCAAGCTCTGGATCTGAGGACACTCAACCCTACCCGGTACTCTCTTGGGATCAGCAAACATAGATTCTACCGCTAGGCTGCTTCTGGCAGAGAGATCTGGGCCCGGGATCTGGGATTGAGTACACTCATCCTAACTCTTTCCTGCGCCACCCAGGGACCAGTCAACATAATCCCTCCTGGCAGAGGAAAAGGACAAAGAGGCAGCACACAGGAAA